GGGAGGATTGACCTTGGTCTTGGCTTTGATAGCCTCAACCTTGCCCTTGCAATCCATATGGGATAGATATCCTTTGCTTCTTCCCTGAACTAGTAGAAGATGAATAACCCTCCTTCTTCTTGTCACAGGCCTCCCGGATGCTCTTAGCATCCTCCACTTCCCTCTTAATGGTCATGGCCATCTAGATAATTGAATCTAAGTTTTGTAGGCAATGACCAACAATCTTCCCTGAATGGACAACTTCAAGCCGTTCTCAAATCTCCATGCTTTGGCCAATTCAGTGGCCAGATAATCATCAGCAAAAAAGGCTAGCTCGGTGAACTTAGCCACGCCGTTATGGTCCCTTGCTTCAAGTCTAGAAATTCCAGGACTTTCACTTGTCAAAGAGCCAACAGGAAGTACTTGTCTATCAAGAGCTCACAAAAATCTTCCTAAGTCATTGCCTCAACATTCTTTGAGGCCTTTGCCCAACTCCACCATAAAGGGGTCTCTCCCTCAAGTTGGAATGTTGCTAGAATTATCTTAGTGGCATCAAATGTGATCTCCATAGCCTCTAAGATCTTATCAACTTGTTGGAATAAATGGTCGGCCAATATCGAATCTGCCCCTCTCATAAAGGTTGGTGGCTTATGTGCCTTGAACCTCTGGAGATTATTCGAGCCTCCGTGGCCCATGTTGGCACTAGCTTATGCAAAGCTACCAACCATTGGCGCCCATGGCCTCCATAAAGGCTTGTTGGTCACAAGCTGGTGGTGGTGGTTGGTTGTTCCGACCACCCCCTCGATCGTTGCGATGTCCTCTTCCTCTATTTTCCATCTACACACACGTAAGATAGCAATAGACCATTTAGTATCCCAAAGTTAAGGATCAAAGTTACAAAATTAAAAAATTTTCCTCTTGTCTCACTGGTAGGAGGTATGTCACCCATCAATAGACACCCAAACCGTAAACTTTCCCAATCTTTCTCTTTTCAACCCCAAGGTTATGTTTTTTAACCCTAATGTCACATTCTCATACACATTTAATCATGCATATACCTCATATCATACAACATGTAGCATTTAATGCACATAACATGTAATGCATAATGAATGCAATGGCTTAATCCAATCTACCCTTAAGTCTAAGGTAATCGGGAACCTAAGCTATGATACCAAGTTATGATGCCCCAAAATCCTAGGTTCTTTTCTCAACCTATTAATCACCCATCAACCCATGGAATACCTATGGATACCATATAACCCGATACCATGTCGTTACACCCCATTCACCAAAATTATAACAAAACAAAAATCCGGGCGGAGTCTCCTTTGTACCGGAGCACTACCCAATACATAACCTATTCATACAATAATCATACGACCACTTCAAGGTGCACATCCCAAAATATAGGCTTAATATTCAACCAATTACATCATCCAAATGAAAGGACTCAAGATGTGCAGGCCCGACAAGGTTACATTTAAACTTTCAATTTTTGGGAAAAGGTATCGATACCTGAGCCTTCTGGTTGCCAGGTACCGATACCTAGGCCCTCGACAGAGTGGTATCGGTACCTATGAGCCTAGGTATCGGTACCTGAGCTCTCTAGATGCCAGGTACCAGTAACTAGAGCTCAAATTTTTCCCAAACTCTCCAAAATCCAACTTTTATCCTAATAACTCATTCAACACCCATTACATTCAATTTGTTTGACAAAATAACAATGTCCAAGAGTGTCCCATTACATTCCTTTGTCAAAATATAACTTTTGTACATGATTTCTACAAGGCCAAAACAAAATTACATAAGTGATTACAAAATGTAATTTAAGAGCCATAATCTGGCTCGGCCATCAACATGAGCCCAAGTGAGGGTCGTCCGCTAAAACTTGTCCAATACTAGAAAATATATCCCCATAAAGGGTGTGTCACCCTCAATAGGGTATCTCCTAGGGAGGCTACTCCCCAACCTAGACACATATGAAATGTCACATACAATTCATCACATCAAGTATCCATTCAAATGCATACATGTCATAAATGAGTGCTACTATTTCATAACATATCATGAGATGAAACTCACGCATGCAATGTAACCCGAGCCCTCCACCGGCTCCCATAACACATGTCATGACATGCATATACATCCAAGCATTCCAAGCCACCGCCATTGATGTTAGACATCCAATGACCATTTTCTAAAATCTTTTGTCTTTTTTGGGGTGGATATTTATGGACTTCCACTAACAATCACCCAACCGACACGACATCTATGGACTTCCGCCAACGGTTTTGCGTACACGGACACACTTTATGGACTCAATACCAATGAGAATGTTTTTCATCAAACTCAAATCATACAAGAATTGGTTTTAAGACATTCTCATACCCATTTTCCATATTTTAGCAACACTAGGTATGTGTTATACATGAGAATTCATCTCTAACACCCTACCCATTTCATATTTCAACCATATGTTGGAAATAAACCTAATTAGGAAATGAACCCTACCTCTTGTAGCGTATACACATGTAGAAAAAGCCCCAAAGACCCCAAATCAAGCTTCCAAAGCTTTATCCCGAAATTCTCATCCTTAGGATTTTGAAGAAAACCACGATCATTGGTATGGATGTGTAGCTTTCCTCACGTAGGACAACTTTAATTCTTGGCTTGAAACAATCCAATGGTTAGATCATCGTAGCTTTGAGGAAGAATGTGAGAGAACTTTGAATTTCTCTCTTTTGTAGAAATTGGCTGAAGAATAGGGAAAATATATAATTTTCTTCCCCTCTTATACTCCTCAACACTTAGCCCTCATTGCGCCACACGTTCCATTTCATTTGGTCTAATTTTATCTCGAATCAATAAAATCTCGACCCGTGTTAACTTTAGTGTATTTTTATTGAACTAACATTAAATTATTTCCTAAATTTCGAGAATAAAATTTGATCACGTTTATTTTAGTCACGCGGCGTCCAATCACATCGTAAGATGAAAAAAATCTGTCTCAAAATTCGATAAAAAATGACTAGGTAACTAGATTTTGCAATACGAATACAACAGAGAGGTCCGTCTCGTCATCCGAGTTCTATTTTAGGTGTTTAGGTCATTATTTTTGTCCTAAATATGAAGGTGTATACAGAGGTTGAATGATGTGATTGTTATGCTTGATCTCCTCCCTTCAATGACACTTTCGAATTTTGAACTTGATAGCAGCAGGACCATAGAAATTGTTGAGATTTTACGATGGACTCTACCAAATTAACAAATTACAAAACATGATCTAAAATAATTAATTCTTATTTTAATTATTACTAAACTTAATTATTGATATATTCTACCCCTCTCTTAGTAATTAATCCCTCATTTTTTTAAGTAGCTCTTTAGCTTCTTTAGACACTTCCTCTGTTATTTATAGTGGAGTTTTATTGTAAGATTATCAATCTTGAGTATTCACACATCTAAATATATTATAGATTTATTATATATTTTTTAAAGAGATTGATTAAATTGTAAACTATTATTTGTATTGTAATATTATGAAAAAAAAATCAAATATGACACATGTTTGACAGTAAAATCCAATCGGACAACTATATTTATATAATAATAGAATATAAGTTGGACTTTACTTTTTTATATAAATAGAGATAGACATAAAAAAAAACTATATGTAAGTGTACTAGTAATAAATAAGTTAAAAAGAATTTAGAAGTTAAATTCTACAAAAAAAAAAAGTTCAAAAGAACTTAGAAGCCAAATAGATATTAAAAAAATAAAAATTGGATGAAAGTAAATGTATGGGTAGAATTAACTTTATAATATTAATTAGGGATAAATTAGAAATTAAAAGTTTTTCAATTCACTTATTTGTTAATAGAAATAGGTATTTTACTTTAGTCAAAAAATGTAAAGGGCTTGTGAGTTTAATTTTAAATGTCGAGGTAAACTGATTTTTGGCCAAAGCACAAGTGGTAAATTTAATTATCCCCAATCGTTTTTGTCCATCAGATTTCCTATTGCTTGCGCATCTATCTGATTGGAATTTGCTTTGAAATAAGGAATTTTTAGACATATATAATTGAAGATGCATGTAACCCATAATTTCGGATAATAGAAACTATGTCTATTAATGAAAAAGACGTGATTGTTTAAATAACCAAAAACCAAAAACTGGAGTAATATTACAAAAATAATTTCCTCTAAATGTTTTCATTTTCTTCCTTAATCATATAACGCTTTAATTTTGTTACTCAATCGTTTCCATTTTTTAGTTGATTGAAACATGCCTCCGGAGCTAAACTTTGAACCATGTGTGGGGACTCTGGAGTCTGGGCATGGAACTGTTTCTTGCCTGGCAATCTATACACTACAATCCACCTTGAAGTGGAAGTTCGTTTGGTTTGTCATATAGTAAAAGAATTGATTGAATTAAATTTTGTATAAATAAATAAAACACAAGATTAAATATGAAATAAAATTAATATTCATTGTAATCCAAGATTTGGTAAGACACTGAATAAAGGTAAGATGATAGAACCTTAATTACATATTGACCAAAAAATTTTTAATCTTGACTAGTTATTAATGTTTTTATTTATTTGGTTGGTGGAATATAAACTTTATAACTTAATACACTTAATCTAGACTATAATACCACCTCCCTAGGTGGTATTATAATTTTTTTTTTTTTTTTTGGGGGAAAGGGGAAGGGAAACTTAAACCCTTGACCTCAAGGCAAAGCCATAAACAAAACAAGGAGTATCATTCGACAAAAGGCTCATTGATAGGTGGTATTATAATAGGCTCAATAGTATGGATAATGTATTATTTAAATAAGCATTTAAAATAAAACTATATATAGTACAAAATATTTTTTACAACCAAATACAATATAAAGTTAGATTAGAGTTTTAATTTATTATGACTCTTTAATACACCCCTTAATAATACAACCAAGCAACCCCTGGTGTTTAAGATTTGCTGCATAAGCCATTAGTCAAACTCCTAATTGTAATGCTGCTAACTAAAAATAAAATTGAAGTAATACATATTGTTGCAAATAGTATTCTCATCAGGATCATATAGAACTTTAGGATGCAAAAATTCCATAAGCTAACTCGAAACATTGTACTAGGATAAACCAGTTGAACCAATACTTGACAGATATAAGACTTTCTTTTATCAAATAATGTTTGACCCTTGATGTCTCCTTCATCCCCTCTTGAAGAGGCCACAAATTTTATTTACATTTGAAGGCTATGACTGATGTGACAATGTAAAAGGGCATTACTTCTTTTTTGACAATGGACACACCAAATGCAACGTCTGCACAGTGGGAAGTTCTAAGATCAATGCTGGAAAACACTTTTGCAGTTTCCTATACTGCCTTGATAATCCATTTGAAGATTCAACCCAAAACTTCAAGCTCGAAGAAATGCATTTAGTGTGCAGCAATGTATTGCCCCACTTCACAGGACACCATGATGTTCAGAAACAAGTAATAAGCCATCCAACTGTACTATGATGATGTTATGTTCTGATCAATAATAGACATAGCTATTGTTGTCCCCACTAACACGCTTCAACATTTCAATCCGCTTAAATTCAGCAATGTCTTGCCCCACTTCACAGGTGAGCACTCAGAATCAAGGAAAAAGCCATCCAACTGTACCACGATGATGTTATGCTCTGATCAATAACTCATAGACATTGCTATTGTTATCCCCATTAACACGCTTCAACATTTCAAAACTTCTACGACTCCCTAAGAAATCCATCCGCTTAAATTCCACGTAGCCACGTGCTGCCGTTTCTTTACTGGAGTACACTGATCGGAGCCGATCAGCATGCCTTGAATCAGTGTGAATTGCTATCTCTATTTCATTAGCCGACATGTTTTCCTGCAACAAAATAAACAAAAAAAACTAGGTAAGAAGACATCTAATATCTGATGGCAGTAATCATGTCAGAATTTGATATCAACATTTGCTGATAATAAACTCCTCATAATTTTGAATGGTGATCATGCATCTCATATCACCTTAAAAAATTTTACTTAATTCCAACATAAGTCATTACCATGCCAATATTGGAACAGTTAAGTACCACGGTATGGTGGCTTTTCAAACACTAGAACTCTCAGGAGAACAGTTAAAAGATCCTTTCTTAAAAAAGGAGGAAAAACGTCTAACAGATACAGCCATTGCAATAAAACTATTGATTGATTGGTGGAAGTGATGAATCAAGGAAGGAAACTCCAAGTACCTGATAAAACGCATAGATATGATCTAACACCTGCAAACACGTGAAGCCTGTATCACTGAAAAACGTTCTTGAACAGGGGCCCATCTCAGAGAATCTATCAACTGGAAACAGTATTGTCAGAAAGTGATTTTTGAATATCAACTCAGTTTTCTCACTGCAAACAAAGCCAGATAACAACGATTTCAGTGAGGGAAAAGTAAGAGCATGCACTTCCCATAAGATCGGAACTACCGGAAAAAAATTTAATGGATTCAAATTTCAGGATTCTAATGGACCATAGGGACAACACATCATCGAAATGCCAGATTCTACTAGAAGAACTAACATGAGCATAGCTGCAGAACTAAAGTTAACCTGCATACATATAAGGTGATTATCCAAATGTAACTTTTATGGGACTACTCTAGATTTTGCATCTATAAGGTGATTGTCCAAATATAACTTTTATGGGACCACTCTAGATTCTGATGCAAAAATATAAGCCAGAAATGCTGGTTTCTGCACTCTATACTTGAAGTTGGTCATTTAGAGTAAGGCGACACAATTCGTTCCAAGCTACCAATTAAGTGCAAAATCTTAGCTGAAACTGGAAAAGAAGTGTTCAACAACCTTTCTGTAAGCGGTCGGGAGAAATTTACAAAAGAAGCTTCAGATTCCTTCCCATCTCCCTTTGCATCAAAGAATACAGATGTGTGGTGCTCACTAGCATCCTCAGTGCTGAAAGAGTCAGTGTATATAGACGCAGTTGAACTTGGCGCAGATATTGACCAGCAGATTGAATCCAGAAGACTTCTTGGTGTGATTGGACGTATTGGAGTTTGACATGTCTGCAATCGAAAGATTTGCATAAACGTGTCCAAGTTTACACAGGAAAGGATATTGAATTCAACAACCATGACAGTGCTACAAAGTAATCAGCCTTGCAGGACCCAACCAAGGATCGAAATTTCGTTTCGAAGTACCGTTTCGGTCAGCTCAAAAATGAAAACGTTTCGGAAACGCAAAAAAAATATGGAAACGTATAGAAACACAAATACAATCCATTAATTTATAAAGATATGCTAAATAATTGATTAATTCAACATATTTATTGGGTTAACATCTATTTATACAAGAATAAATTTAAATTTGAGGGAAAAAAAGACTTGACATGAGGCGAAAGTCACTTAAATTAGTTTCAAACACTTAATTTTTATGAAATAAACACATTTTTACATAATATTAAGGTCTTATAATACATATGAAATGCTAATGAGTACATACTTACATGGCTACATCCATCCCCCTGTAGAGTGTCGAGCAGGCTCATACATCGGTGTAGGCTCTGGGTAGCTACTTAGAGAAACTCCATATGTTACATAAATATGATGACAATAGTTACTCCAACTCATATTATTATGGTAATATTATCCAATTAATAATATTATTTTATTATAATACTAATAATGAAGGGTATCAAATTAAATTAATGGTACTTATGTATACTTAAAAATTAAATGTAATTGTAGTGGGTATTAAATGTAATTACAATGGGTATTAAATATAATTATATTAGGGTATTAAATGTAATTGTTAATACTTATAACCAAAAAAAAAAAAGCAAAAGACTTGCACAGCAGTGGGATATTAAATATAATTACAGTAAGGTATTAAGTGTAATTATTTATTCTTATAACACAAAAATTATAAAAGACAGAAGAGCAGTGGGAATTAAATGTAATTATAATGGGGTTTTAAATATAATTATAGTGGGTATTAAATATAATTACAATGGGTATTAAATGTAATTATTCATAGTGAACCGAATATATCATTGTTTTGTTGAAACAGTACTGTTTCAACCGAAACGGTCCGAAACAGTGCCGTTTCGACCGAAACGGTCCGAAACAATACCGTTTCAACCGAAACACTGGAATTTTGTGATTCAACTACTGTTTCGTTTCGGAGTGTTGAAATTCCGAAACGTTTCGGACGTGTCGACACGACATTTTGATCCTTGGACCCAACCACATTGACTGTTGTACTTCATACACATTGCAAGCAAGCAGCGAAAAAATGCTCTGCCCTTTTGCTTTCTTGCAACTATTAATGGGAACGTAGATAACCATCTACATAAATCATAACAGAATATACAGAGCCAGGCAAATTTAAACCTCCAAATAAATTGAATTGAATAAATATGACCAGTATCTTACCTGCATACAATAACCTCGGCGCTTCCTAACCCCATTTTTAGCAAGATTCACTATATTTTGCCTTTCTCCATGATTTGCCTTACTTCTGGAACACAGTGCATCTCGTGGATCATTGCCCCCTTTAAGTTCCTAAAAATAATTCAAGGAGAAGGCTCAGCATAGAAACAGAGAACATATCAGTTATTTGACAATCAAAGCGGCAATTTAGAAGTCACTGGAAAAATTTGCCCCACAGAAAGAAAAATATAAACCTAATTAAATTTCAAAAAAATAAAGGTTAGTAAGTTGATACAAAAATGAACTGTTTCTAATACAGGTGTACACAGTTTCCAACTGGGCGTTCATCCCATGACAAATGTTTCCATCTACACTTTGGCTTTCGCCTTTACTTCCGCACTACCCTCTCAAAACTGTAAGATCTGTAAAATTGGCGCAAAAAATTTTCTTATTGTTTTACAAAACTTGCTGTAATTTTGGATACAATCTACTTCCAGTGTGTTTTAGATCTGGCATTGGAAAACAGACACACTCATTCAAATACCTCATTGTTTAATTCTCCACCTTACCAGATCTACTTTCCATTATGCCCTCATTCTCATTTGTATTCCCTCCAGTTGACCATTATCTTTGTTATTATTCATTCACACACCTGATACGTTGTCTTATAAAACAAGAAGCAGCCAATCCACACTTAACCTCTTCATATGAAGAAAGGGCCACATTTAAATCACCTTAAAATTAGTATACCTCCACATAAATGCCATTTTGAGTGCTGTCAAGCATAGTTCCAATTTCTCGAGCCAAATCAGCAGATATGTGAATGACCCTCTGCATACGTGTTTCCTTTGCAGTCTTCAGAACCCATAGTGGCTGAGGCAAACCATATATTGATTAGAAATCATGATGAATTAGTAAGGCCCATTTAGACTAGGTGTGACCGTGTGAGCCTCATGCAAAGAACCGAAAATCATCTTATGGGATAACCATGATGGCGAAAACATCAAACTTTTCTTGTGTTTCCCGTATCTACCCATTCTCCAAAAATCTATATATAGCACTTACAGTAACAAGATAGTCAGAGTGGCCAAGATATTTTTGAACAGAAGGTCCTTCGCACACTACATGACTCACATTGCAACCAACGAACCATTGATCTAACAATGTGGCACCTTCTCCAGCAGCTGCCTCAACAGCCTACAGAAATTCATGTCAATTGCCATTAAAGCATCCACCATATATGCTACTGAATATTGATTACTCAAGAAAAATTAATATATACATCTATCGATATAATAAAACACCTAGCAATTTGAATTTTTATCCCCTACTTATTTTTTCCCACAAAAACATCACATCGCTCAATTCTATCATATACTCAATCATTTAATATTTGATTACTTTATAATTTACCATAATTTTATTTCAGACATTATTCATATACGATAGTATACACACATTGAAAAAAAATTGTCGGATTAAATATTTTGAGAATATTTTGTCGATATTTTTAAGAAAATAGTGGGTAAAAATAAATTTTAAATGATGTAATCAAATAAATAAAAGAAAGAAAAATGATTACTTAATATAATGTGATCAATTTTTTAGACGCTCGAATTTTAAGTTTCATCATGGCTTCAAGCATGGGTTATGACTAGTATATACATATTAGCCGATATGTACAATTATGTATATACACATCTGATGAAGTCACTCAAGGCACCTATTACATTTTAATCCATTGGAATTTAAAAGGCTTAGTCGAGCATTAATGGACACGGGTATTTGTTTCATTGTCTCAAAAGAAAAGTCTTAGGATGTACAGCACATTATACCTCTACAGCATTAAGTGTCTACATGCAAGACTACCACAGAAAGTCAGGTAGTTGATCCAAAAAAAAAAAAAGTCAGGTAAAGTAAAACAGCAGATTGTGCATATCCTATTTTCATATGAATATGAGACAAAACGGTTATGCTTTAATTGAAGTCAAGTCTACCTTGCTCTGCAGTTCAGCTGAAATTTCTGTATCTACATATAAGGAGTGACCAGAAAGACTTGAACCCATAATCCAAGAATCTTTTTCCAAAGAGCGTAGGCCAGGTCCTTCAATCATGTCAGATTGCTGGGCATGATCAAGCATACTAACACGTATACAAGAATTCCCAATATCAGCATACTGCACACGTCGGTTTGGATCATCTACGGGCAAACCATTTTCTCCTAGACCCTTGACACTATAAAGAGATTCGCTCAATCTCACTGCAAAGAACAAAAGAAACCACGTCTCATTAATTCAACCGGCAAAGTGCATAAATAATTGCTTGTTTCCAGGCAATACAAAATTTTTCGAAGAAGAGATATGGTTTTTAAATTTCAAAAAAGGATAACTTTTTCGTTAGACATCTTTGGCTACAATATATGTAGGCAGCAGGTCATTCAAAAGCACAAACCTACCAGTTCAAAATTTCAACCTAATTACAATGTCTGCCATAAGATTGTACTCATCAACACAGCTTTGGCAGACAATAGACGATAGTAATAGAGAGAAGAATTGATCAATAACAATCCAACTTGCAGCAACTTGTAGAGAGGATATGTGCCACAGAGTTGGACCATGTTAGAAGGTTCAGAAGAACTCCGAATTATGAAGTACAACCCAAGAAGGATGGATAGAAAGCAAGGATAGCAAGGGGCAGACCGCAGAGCATAGTTTTTGAATCCAAATTGGGCACTAGATGCACAAACCAAGATGAAAAAAATTCAAAAAATAGTGGAGTTAAATAATTTTTGGACAGAAATAAGGAATATTATCTTTTTTTCTGCCACTGTGAGGACTCCGTTGTGTGACCCGAAGAGAGAAAATTGAGAGGTTCATATTCATTGCTTCTGCAAGTGCAAATCCTTGGTTGAATTACAACATACCCTCCCATTGTATGGAGATGGACAGAAGGCAAGAGGGGTCTTTGGGATTAGAGGATGCACAGAGTGTTGTGCCGCACTTGAAGGAATGAAATGGGTAGAGAATGAGGGGGTGAAGCAACCATCGATGGAGCCTTCAACTTCGAGTTCGACACTTCGACTTCGAATCTGCGTAGTGCGCAAAGACAGACAGAGAGAGAGAGAGATGACTAAGGAGTGAGTCGTCACTCGATTGACCTCAATGACTCTCTGGCGAGAGGAGAAGAGCTCAAATGATTTAAGGAAAGACATGCCCAAAAGGGCCAAAAACACTACTTTTATAGCATTTTAATTGATCCGCCGGTTTTTTCAAAATTGTCGGGTTGAACGATTTTTTCAAGAACTGCCTGGTTCAGTGGATTCCTTCCGGGTTTTTTGCTTAACCGATCTAATATAAGGACTGGCCCGATTTAGGCTCCAGTTCGCCAGTTTACCGGGTGAACCCGCCGAGCCGGGTTTTAAAACACTGCTGTAGAGAGAGAGAGAGAGAGAGAGAGAGAGAACAGGAGTGCCACGGTATTCCTACAGTCTCCTTGAGAAGGCACAGTCAAGGTTTTCGGTGCCGATTATGCATTCGGAGGAGGACAACAGATATAAATGCTCTAACAGAAAGGCAATATCCAATTCAGAGAATGTGCTCATGATACACAGAATTGCCTAAGTGGTTCTATGTTAAAGTTCCAGGGCATTTATAGTGGTCAATGGGTTAAGGAAATTTGAATCATGTGTAAGAAAGATCCAAATTTGGTATGAGTAGTACAGCCAAGTGGGTCGAGCAATCATGTGAAGCTTCATGTGTAGTAGTGTAGATATTTATATGATAGAGAAGTACTTTGCACACTAAGCATAATACATGTGCCGTGCCTTTCTAGAATCTCTCTCATTCTTCCGGATGGGCCAAAGTAACACGTTGTGAGTGGGGGTGCCCCCTCAGCAAGGATTTGATCCTAGCCACCAATCCAACAACCTTTCGAGTTGACGTGTAAGAGTCACAAAATGGCCACCTGGGCATAGTCAATAACTGTTGTACCTAATTTGCAAGGTATCATTGGGCTCTGATCACGGTCCCAAGTTAGAATTGTATTTGATGGATAGTCATAATCAGTTTAGGGCTGAAATCTTCCTTGTAATAGGGAATGAGGTGATAGACAAACCGCATGCACACTAGCTTACTGCTTAAGATGTACGGTCAGTGAAAAAACAAAACTGTGAAACAGATGCCATGTTGCCTGATAGTAATGGTGATGCAAACAGAAGATTTGAGTTGCATGAGAGTTTCTTCCACAGTAGGAGGCATGAGAATTACGCTTGTACCTGTCAAAAGGTGCTGAGTGCACTTGCCAGGTCAGTATCAATCGTGCCCCATGTCAGTCTGGTATCTTTTGCAAATTCACCTCTTCGAAGAAAGTACAGGAAGTCAATGTATTTCGATTGCTCTATCACTGAGTGTATAAATATGCTTCAAAATCTGCTAATCAAAATCCTATTTATGAAGCCAAATATCTTCAAGATCTTCTACCAAATGACCTCATAAGCAATTAGATTTTAGACCCACTTGTCCAACTATTGGGAACAACAACTGGAAAATAAAAGATTCTACGAGAATCAACATTGACATACTAAACAGAATTTATTCAAGAGCCGATTAAAAAAAAAAAAAAAAAAGGAAGTTATGCAAGAGAACAGCTACTTATCAGAAACTAAACTTACAGTAGTCAGCATCATACAAAAGTCAATTCTTACCATTCCTTCTGGCGCTATCCACGAACCATCCAAGTGTAACAACAAAGAGACCATTTCTTGATCCATGTTTCAGAGCATGCTCAAACTTACGTCCGCGAAAGCTGTAAATAGTGTTAAGAGTTGACACAAGCATGCTTGGAAGGAAGGTAGAATTCTAATGTCAGACAAAACAAAATCCCAATACCTAGTGAAAAACCCTACCAGAGATAGACCTGGTATTAATGGCATAATCCCAATGAAGGGAAAGTTATTGAGAGGAAAATGTGAAAAATTAGATAATCCTACAATCCTGGTCAACAATTGGTGTCTGTTTTCTTTTCCACTGTTTATTCACTTTTGTAAACTGGCCAAAAATGATGAGAAATCACTTTCCTGGGAGATACCGAGGGTAGAATTCATCCAAACTAACAGGGGCAGCTAACCATAGCAACAAAGGAGAGGGAATAGCATCTTCACTCAATATCATATCATCATACATGCCACCATATAAATATATTATCCACTATGCATAAATATAACCAAAGATAAAGGATATCTGAACCACCAAATGCGTACATTGAGGATGTAAATGGGGGCTGTATCGGCCACCCAATCTCTCTGTTGCGTCCATGACTTGTTTCCTTGCTTCTGTTAATCACATCATAAAGCAAACGCATGAATTGTTGCAAATATAGCTATTTCAGTAAGAACAACACCACTTCATGTACTGCTTCAGTGCTTTGGGAGAGGAAGTCGATGAAGCAAGATATCAGATAAATTACTTATGTCAGCAGCAAGTGTTTCAAACTACACAAACTTTGAGTCATATAGGGGGTGTTTGGATTATGGGTTAAAGGGGTGAACACTCGTTGGATTCGATAAAATTTCGGTGAGTCCCATATATCCCATGTTTGGGAAGTCAAAAATAAGGTTGGATATTTAATTCGGGTTATCCCTAACGTGAAAATGAATAGTAACTATTAGCCTCCTTACTTGGGTTAAATGAAACCCACCTCACAGGTGCGTTAAAAAACCCACCGACCGGATATCTCACTAATTTACTCATTTACCCTTCTTTTTTATCAAAAGCCCTACTCAGTGGCTTGCAGCTTTCAATTCCAAAAGCTCCATATAGACAAAAAAAGACGATGAAATCATCCAAGAAATCATCACAGCGAGGTTTTCCTCAACAAAGACGACATCATCCAAGAAATCATCGTCGACAAAGAAGGCCTTCTCTCTCTCTCTCTCTCTGCAATTGTATTTATCTGCTCCTTTTTGTTTTTATTTCAAATATTCCCGATGTGTACAATGATGGAGGATCCCACGCTCAAGCCATAGGCACGTCCAATTTATTCGTTTCTCTATCCATTTTCTAAATTATATAATTATTACATGGAGCCACATCAATCTTTCTCTCACCTCTCCCCAATTTCTTGACCACCGACGACTTGGGAAGAAGAGGATCAAACTTCAACGCTTCAATCAACTATTTTTTAGGCAAGTTTGATGGAAAACTTCACTAATATACTACTTTTTTGTGTTATGCCTTGTTTTTTTTATTTTGGTTGGAATGGGTATTTAGTGTTGATGTGGAATGTTAATAGGTAAAGGAAGGGGTTTGCATAAATTTAGGTAAGGTGGGAAGAGATGTTCTGGTGTTTTGGATGGGATTATAGTGGGTGGGGAAGAGGATTTGCAGACGGGTTGGTATTGAATTGGTGAGATGGAAATACATTATTCGTCCAGAATTGGTTCGTTCTATCTCTCTCTCGCTACTCTTCCATCTTTCACCATATATCCATTAGAAACTAACCAGTCTACAAAGATCATGTTGGAAAAATAGTTTTGAATAAAGTTATTTGGAGCTACTTTGGGCTTAAATAGAAGTGGGACCCACACCTCAAAATTGGTAGAATCATATTTAAACGTGTTCTTCACGAGAAGATTAACGTAGTATATTCACTTGTCCAAAATCATTAAGTATTGAATAAGAAATTATATCTCAAAAATAATTCTCTTGAATGAAAGGAAGAAATTAAGAATAATGTGGTATAGTGTAATAAGCACATTGGAAAGAAACCAAAAACTTGGTGAGTTAATGTACTCCTAGTTGGCTTCTTGGACCCCAAGGTGTACCACAACTTTATTAGCAAAACGAGCACCTACACAAGCTTGGTTACCACACATGCGTGCATACGCAGTCTCGCCTTGTCTCACTACCACCCGACCCGACCCGACCCGAGCTTGAGCTATTTGGTGGGTTGTGGATAAAACCAAACATATTTGAATTCGGATCACTTATTCTTCCAACTAAAATTCAAAATTCATGTCTGTTATTTTGAATTTGGCACTATTTTGATTAAGTCTGTCACACTCCAGAGATGTTTTTCCCTTTCATTACTATTCGATTAATTGTGTGTCTCTTCAATCTGAATGCCAAATGAACAATGGTGTCTCGTGCCTCTTCAAGACTCCCTTAAAACCATTTTAAGATACAGAAACATACTGAAATACAGTTCAAAACTTCAACATTCTACATTCATTTTTTCTTCTCTCTCTGCATTCTGCATTCATTTTTTCTTCTCTCTCTACATTATTATTTTGTTCGGTACAAGTACGAAACACTAGTTATGTTCGTTTGTTTTTTGAAATTAAAGTGTTGTTTCTTTAAAAACAAATTATGTTATATCTTGGGAAATAATTGTTGATCAATTTTCAGGATGGAGCAAACCTGTCTTAAGGAAACTGTGGTTTAACACGGCTCGAATTATTATTATTTTCTTATTATTGTTGTTCTGCATTTGTGTAAGTGCAACATTTTTGTTTTGTTTATACATTTTGTTTTATATAATTGTTTTTCATGTGACCGTATACATAATGACTCAGATTTGCTACAATAATTTTATCTAATTCTGATTCCATATTAGATAACAATCTTACGACATATTTCATTTATTAATAAATAGGTTAATTACTGTTATAATCTAAATCAGAATTCTATATTCTGTTATGTTATTACATTACATTATTAAAACCAGAATATTTTCTGGTTACTGTTGTCTAATAGAAATGGCTACAAGTAGTTTTGTTCCTACTACCGTGAGTGTATCTCATGGAGAGAAGTCCAAGAAATTTAAAGGCTCGAATTTCAAACATTGGCAACAAAATATATTTTTCTATCACACCACCTTGAACCTTACAAAGTTTCTAAGTGAAGATGTCACAGTACTTAAAAAAATAAAACTAATACGAAAAAGATGGTTATTGTGGTTGTGGATGCTTTGAAAGTATTCAAATTTTTTGTGTAGAAATTACATCTTGAACTGACTAAACAATGCATTATACAATGTGTACAGTGCTGTCAAATCAGTGAAAGAACTTGGGAGTTTTTGAGCAAGAAATCTAAAACTGAGGATGCTAGTATGAAGAAATTCATTGTTGATAAATTTTTGAATTATAAAATAGTGGATTCAAAAACTATCATAGCCCAAGTTCAAAAATCTCAAGTTATCCTTTATGACATCCATACTGACGATATATCTCTTAGTGAGTTATTCCAAGTAACTGTGATCATGAAAAAATTACCACCACTTTGAAAAAATTTCAAGAACTATCTCAAGCATAAACATAAGGAGATGAAACTTGAAAAATTGATAGTTTGTTTGAGGATTGAGGAAGATAACTGCAAATCTGAGAAGAGAAGTGGAGTCTTTAATCCCATAGAGTCTAAAGTCAATATTGTGGAAAATAGAACAAGGAATAACAAAAAGAGGAAGCATACTAGTGGAGGTCCAAATCAAGGATCTAAGAAGTTTAAAGGCAAGTGCTATAACTATGGCAAAACTAGACATCTCTCTAAAGACTGTAGTAAGCCAAAAAATTTAAGAA